CGCGCGTGCCATTTGCAGCAGTTAGTTGCTCTAACCATAGCCCTCTCTGCAGTAGCGCGTGACCGCCGAAGGCGGCACAAGGGGGTGAAACAAGAGCCAAAACAAGCGCGTCATACAGTACGCGTAGACTCATGGCTAGGTAAAAGCAATTAGCTGCAGTTAGCAGCAGTTAGCAGCAGTTAGCAAAGCTCAGTCAGTCAAACAAATATTGCAGTAAACAAAAATTTCAATTTTATGCCAATTATTACAACTAAACGAACTAGTAAAAACAATAACGTTGTTATTGCTTGCATGGTGTCATGAAGCGATAACGATGAACGATAAAATTTAATTTTAAGTTGTATGTCTGAATTTTGTGTTTATGTTTACGATATGATTGCTAATTTGTAATTACTTACCAGAGAAACTCATGGCGCGCTAAAAAGCATGTCGCGAGTAAATTTTACTTATAAAAAGTTTTTACAAGGTTGACGGTATTTGAAGCTTTACCTGGCACACCAGTCTTTGTGCGCGGCGCTCTTTTCAAGCTTACTTCTTGTACAGGAAGAGTTAACGGCCGGTGATATATAAAAATATTTGTTCCAACTCGGCGCGTGTTTTGGTAGATTATAAAAATACAAAGGAAGAGAAGCGAGCAATTAAATAGCAAATAGTGAAATATAGACTAAAGCAAGCTAGGTAATTTGAAACCATTTTTAGTTTATATAAACATAAAGTGAATGAAATCTTGACTAGCGCTTAGGGGTCGTTCACATATAACGTAATCAGCCGAGGGGGGTTTTTGAATGCTTACGGTTGATTACGGGGCCGGGGGGTTTTTGGTCGTTGATTGCGTAATCAAGATTTTAATTTTTTACCGATTTTCGAAATACCAATTAGACAATTTTTGTTAGTTTAAAAAACGAAAATTTTGATTACATAACTAATAGTTATGTAATCAAAATTTTCGTTTTTTAAACCAATTTTCGTTTGGTAAGTGCTTTGCGATTATTTCATTCATTAATCCGTTGTGATAGTTTTTAAAATTAATAAATAAATGGCTTAACATTTACGGGGGGGGGGGGGGGTCAAACCTTGATTATGTTATATAATTATGGGGGGGTTCGGTCTTGATTACGGTTGATTACGGATGGGGGGGGGGTAAAAATTGCCAAAATATTGATTACGTAATATGTGAACGACCCCTTATTTGAACAAATTTTATTGACCGGGTTTATTTCAGATTTTTAATATCACGCTTCGTTTTTCATAAATAATTGAAACGTACATGTCATTGATATCTTGATATTATCCGGTTGGAAGAGACAAGGACAAGTGAAACAAGGAAGTTAGGAGTAAGGGCAAATTTTCGGCGTCAACGCCATCTTCAGGCTAAAATTGTTATAAATGTTAGTATATAATAAATGCTTCTATACTAGTTAAAATGCTAAATTAAAATTACACACACTGAATACAGGTTACATCAAATGGTATTGTACATTACATTGAAAATAGTGATGTACACACGTTTTACACTCTGTCCAAGTACATAATATCTACTGAACAACAGGGTCGTGTGCTATTTGTTTAAATTTGTCTTTGAATATGTTGTAAAAGAAATCCCTTAAGCTTCTCGCACTCTTCTTTGTTATTGATACTAGGTTTAAATAAATTAATGTAGTAAGCTTCTGTCACTTTACGTTTAATGGTGCTATATAAGTTAATTTCTAAAATATCGAAGGAAATATCTGGTTCTATGTTATCGTGAAACTCTGAATAATGAGCAGCCAACGCATTATCAGGATAGGTTAAAGGCCTGTTGACTGCTCTTCGATGCTCTGAAAATCTATCGTGTGCTGTTCTACTCGTTTCCCCTATATATAGCTCTTGACATAATTTACACGTAACTTTGTATATGACACATTTTGGTTTGCAGTCGTGATTTGTTGTGATGAGTGGACATATGATACAGTTTGGTATGGTGCAGTGTGGTTTGTCGTGTGGTCGTGATGAACATAGGATCTCTGAGAGTTTCTTACCTGGTGTGAATATGAATTTGACCGGTAAGTTGTGTGAGAGGGCAAATTGAGTGACTTCTTTGGAAAATGGCTCGTTAATGAATGGTAGAGTGCATGTTACGTGGTCGGTATCTTGTATGTTTGATGATGAAGGGTTATGACGTGTTGTAGGTGAGAGAGGGTGAAGTCGTCCTGTTTTGTTTATACGTCGTGGGTCTTGGTAACCGTTGTTGACCAACAAGTTGTCTACTATCTTCATGGACTCTTCTTTATACTCTGGTGTTGATGAGCAAAAAGCAGCCGTTTTGTAGAAGTTCTTGATGGTTGCTACTTTAGTTCCCTCATTGTGGTGGCTGTTGGCGTGCAGTGTGATATTCTTTTTCTGCTTCTTTCTGTAGAATTTGTGGTGTAGTGTTCCCTGTTCGTCAATCTTTATCTGGGTGTCGAGGAATGGGGTGAAATCCTGACGGCTTTCCGGATAGTCAACTGACTAGGTTAGGTTACTGAGAGACTAGAGACTGAGAGTAATGTGTTATGGACAGAGATAAGTAGGATGTGTAATTATGACAGCAAAACAGTAGACTTATTTAAATCACATAATACCCAACTACCGACTATTTATTTAATACAGAAAACTCATAAATTTGATTGTAATGTCTTAGTTTCAGATGTAGATATTATTTCTAATTGTAAAATACGTCCAATTGTGTCTTGTATAAATTCCCCTTCTGAGAAGCTTGCTTGGATTGTTAAATCTATTCTATCTCCTCTGCTTAATCATGTTCCATCTCACCTGAGCAATATACACACTCACCTAGAAGAGCTTCAAAACATGTCACATCAACAACTCTCAGGTCTCTCATTCTTCACAGCTGACGTCACAGCACTGTACACAAACATCAACATCAGTGGCTGCATTCAAGACCTCATTACACTCACCGAAGAACATTGGGAAGACCTCGACACCTGGGGTCTAACACTCACGCACATCCACAAGATCCTTGAATTCGTCTTCACCAACTCATACTTTACATATCACTCAAGACTCTACCTCCAGAAAATTGGTCTCTTCATGGGGTGCCAACCATCACCAATAGGAGCGATAGTACGAGTATATATGTTCGAGAGAAGATCGATTTACACTGATTTACACGTCTCATTCTACCGGAGATACGTGGATGATGCCGGGAGTCTAGCCAGCTCCAAAGAAGAAGCTCTGAGGATAGTGGAGTCCATCTCAAACGAGGACCCAGACCAGTTGCTCAAATGGGAAATTGACTATCCGGAAAGCCGTCAGGATTTCACCCCATTCCTCGACACCCAGATAAAGATTGACGAACAGGGAACACTACACCACAAATTCTACAGAAAGAAGCAGAAAAAGAATATCACACTGCACGCCAACAGCCACCACAATGAGGGAACTAAAGTAGCAACCATCAAGAACTTCTACAAAACGGCTGCTTTTTGCTCATCAACACCAGAGTATAAAGAAGAGTCCATGAAGATAGTAGACAACTTGTTGGTCAACAACGGTTACCAAGACCCACGACGTATAAACAAAACAGGACGACTTCACCCTCTCTCACCTACAACACGTCATAACCCTTCATCATCAAACATACAAGATACCGACCACGTAACATGCACTCTACCATTCATTAACGAGCCATTTTCCAAAGAAGTCACTCAATTTGCCCTCTCACACAACTTACCGGTCAAATTCATATTCACACCAGGTAAGAAACTCTCAGAGATCCTATGTTCATCACGACCACACGACAAACCACACTGCACCATACCAAACTGTATCATATGTCCACTCATCACAACAAATCACGACTGCAAACCAAAATGTGTCATATACAAAGTTACGTGTAAATTATGTCAAGAGCTATATATAGGGGAAACGAGTAGAACAGCACACGATAGATTTTCAGAGCATCGAAGAGCAGTCAACAGGCCTTTAACCTATCCTGATAATGCGTTGGCTGCTCATTATTCAGAGTTTCACGATAACATAGAACCAGATATTTCCTTCGATATTTTAGAAATTAACTTATATAGCACCATTAAACGTAAAGTGACAGAAGCTTACTACATTAATTTATTTAAACCTAGTATCAATAACAAAGAAGAGTGCGAGAAGCTTAAGGGATTTCTTTTACAACATATTCAAAGACAAATTTAAACAAATAGCACACGACCCTGTTGTTCAGTAGATATTATGTACTTGGACAGAGTGTAAAACGTGTGTACATCACTATTTTCAATGTAATGTACAATACCATTTGATGTAACCTGTATTCAGTGTGTGTAATTTTAATTTAGCATTTTAACTAGTATAGAAGCATTTATTATATACTAACATTTATAACAATTTTAGCCTGAAGATGGCGTTGACGCCGAAAATTTGCCCTTACTCCTAACTTCCTTGTTTCACTTGTCCTTGTCTCTTCCAACCGGATAATATCCAGATATCAGTATTTCAATCATGAGACTAATAAACAGCGAACTACTCCGTTATTTGGTACATGTCATTTTGGCGAGCGTGCTAAATCACTCTACAGTCGATCTTCGAGATTGTTCTAAAAGGGCTTATAGTTATTACATAGACTAAATAAATAGCGTGCGCCTATTTTTTAAGATTGTGACAGTGATTCTTTGTCATACCTTGTATGACCCGCCGCGCACGAGTGCGCGGCTCCCTCTGTATCGCGTAGAAACTCTATAGTGAAGCGACAGTGGGGGTCACCACGTGATACAAGTGATTCTGGGATTCGATTGGTTTATACTTATAGTATAAGCTAATCCATGATCCATAATCGGTTAATTGATATCACGTGTCAAAATTTGCAGTACCTCCCCAGTTACCAGCTTCCGCAATCCACATTTACTGGGCAGCGCTCAGCTAGCATGTCATTCCGCCATATTTTCTGTTTATGGCGAGAATCGTTCATTAAATTTTTTAATTTGTTTATCGAAAAATGAAACATCTTCTTTCAATACTTATAAAATAGGAATCTTTAACAAAACATTGTAAACTTACAACAATTTAATCTTGCAGTATAGTACATTTGCCGATCAATACATGCAGTGCTAATTTACAATTCCATGAGCTTTTATTTTTTGGATTTAATGTGTATAGTCAGCATTTTAGTAATATAAAACCAATATTTTATTATAATTTGAAATGATCTCACGACTCTCCAGCGCTTATCAATAAAATTAAACCCGTGTATAACACTGTACGGACTAAAGCATTTGATAATGACGTAAGACTAAGATTCTAAAATTATGCACTGCTAGCGCGCTCGGGTAAATTAAATCTAAAAATATAATGAAAAACTGATCCAATAAATGCGACCAATATCAACGCACATTACGATAAAAAGTAACTCTTTCAACAACCATTCAAACAAAAAACTACTAATATTCGCACATCACGTAAATCTTTCACCTTCAACTACTAAAAGTTGTCGCTCAAAAATCATATGAAATGAAAATCTCTTTCACATAAAAACAAATTAATAGGTAGTATAAAACATCTGAAAAATAAGTCGGCAACACAACCTGTATATATAATTTAAGCAGAGCTTTTTAAGCTTATAAAACAGTAAATCATCTTTGAAGTGCTCTACAAAACATACTTTGGCTTGTATCACACATCATGCCAAATCAACATCTGATAAACTCCAATACAGGTTAACTCTGACGATGCTTTTCAAATTTCTTGCGAATCTTGCGACGCTATGTCAGAATCCTTAGAAATCCTGTTAAATGTACTCGGAGTTTCACAAAACCCTGAATCTTGACTGATCCTTGTGGACCTCTCCCCGGTCCCGGAAACCTGTACTGAAGTTTCCGTGTTAAAGCTGAAAATCCCGTCTGTGTCTTGGGGGAGGACATCGTCGCTAGAGGTCATCTCTGGTACAACATCCACTGTACCGGTTAATTGAGATTCTGATGTTGTTGATTCCTTTGTCTCGTCCATGGAGAGTTCTGGTGTCGTGTCCTGAGTATCTGGAATGGTTGTAGGAGATGGAACATTCGTACTCAGACTGTCAGAAAGTTGGGTCTCAGGAACAAACATGTCTGGGGCAGCGCTATAGTTCATTCCCGAGTCAAGAATAGTGACGGACGAGCTATTCTGCTGATTGTCGGTCGATTCAACATTGTACTCATACGAAGTCGCTGTACTATGCCGGGAAGACAGCACGGTATGGTTCGTATGTGACGATCCACTTTCCACCTCATCGTTCGTTTTCTGATAGTAGTCAACATAACCCCGGTTTTTTTCCGATGACACTTCCTGCGGTGACAGTTCCTCGTATCTCAATTCCCCCGACTCGATTGCAGAAACCATCATCTCGGTGTACTCGGCGGAGAGCTGTGGTGCTCGCGGTGTACCACAAGGTGGTGTACTGGGTCGGGAGTCTGGCGGTGGAGTGTAGGGTGGAGGGGTGGTGCGGTGGGAAGGGGAGGAAGGGATCTCCATGCTGGGGTACACTCGGGGACCTGGGATTGGGACTGCCACCGCCTGGAATTGGATAACATGTTAAATCATAGGATATATATTGTCAATATATTTACGCAAAGCTGTTTTGTTAAAATGTAATAGAGAATGACATCGATTTACAAACTTGTTTGGTTAATCAATGTTACTCATTAATGAATTATTGATGAAATGTTTTTTAAAGAGTTCAACGTGAACAAACCTGTGATGCAGCAGCAATAAGGGCAGCCATCGGCGAGGAATTATACAAATCATGCTCGGATCGTCTCCTGTAGTCAGAGTATGGACTACTCGAACAGAATCCAGAATCTGAGAGGGACAATTAATAAGCAAATAATATATTAATCAAATTATTATTAGTTACTTACTGATAGATTAAGATAAGTCATAAATAAAATGGTTAATTGAAATGCTTCTATGACAAGGTTAGAAACTAAGCCGTTTTTGTTCTGCATATTGAACGATATCCAAACCTCAACCACCACTCCCAAATGCCAAACTAACCAATCATAACATACCGGTCATATTGCTGCTAGAATAGGGTGGGGAGGCGGCAGATCCATGTTCGTTCTGGTACGGCATCACATACTCCGGTATCAAGGAACCTCTCATGTGATCTCCGTAATCTGGGTCCTGGTCCTGGAGAGGGAGTGTTAGTCAGAGTGTTCACTGTTCGGTGAAGAGGACGGTATATTGCAATAATGAGGAAATATTGGTGAACAACTAACATAACTTCAATAGTACGATTCATTTAGAGTTAAAACATGTAAACTAGAAAATGCCAAAAACAAACCTGATTAGAACCACACTGGAGCCCAATACTCCGGGAACCACAATCTCCAGGAGACTCACTCCCACTGTCACCACGACTGTTTGGGTTTTCTATTCCAGGATCTCTGGCCTTGGCTTTCTTGGGACGTTTTCTGACCAGCAGTTTTATTTTCTCGTGCTCGTGTGTCGGATCTATACATCTGAAGGATTTAAAGTTTAGGATACAGCTCTGATTAAGCACGGAGTATTCCGAAATCCGAACTTATGCAACACTATACTGAGTAACTAAAAGTAAAAGTAAGTAACAAAAGTCAATAAATATAATAAAACTCACGTTGCAGTACAGTGAAGAGTGTTAGGAGGCAATGTGTTCATGACACGCTCCAACATTTCCGTGTAGACCGGATCATGAGGCTGCCTACAGAAGATGTAGGTCAATCTCTTGTCAGGATTGTGGACTAGGATACCTTTAGAGTAGTAGAACCGCATTGACCGAGAAAACTTGTCAAATGTCATCTTGGTTCTCTTCTTACACAGACCCCATTGCTTAGCAGCTTCTTTCTGATCCAGAACCTAAAACGTTGGGCTATCATCCACCAGAACACAAATATAATCCAGTAATACATGAGATACAATAATAGTACGATGCAATGATTAGATTCAAATGGATCTCAACCATAAAAGTTGTTATCCTTTTTTTCATTTCGATGGCGCCTTATAAAATCTTTTCTTGTGTTTCAATACCTTGAACTCGAGATCGTTTCCAGTCCATCTGATCCAGCCTCTACACCTCTGATCCTCCAACTTCCTCATTAGGAACTGCCACAGAGCCGTACCGTTCTCTATTTGTTCTGAAGGGTTATTTAGCGTTAGGGGCCTAGACTCTTGAGAATTAAAATAAAACTTGCGGCTCACACAAATTATCCACTTGTAAATTAATTAAATTAACCTTCTTTGGTGGTTCTGCGTACATATTTCCTCTTTTTCCTGGGCTGGTCAGGTTCAACTAGAGTTGCGGCCTCGTGTCGGGTGTCATCGCCTCCCACACTACTGTTCTTCGTCACCTGGTACGGTCAGGGTGTGTCACACAAGCTAATCAACTGTTTATAACGTGTCACAAAAAGCAACACACTAGCTAATTAACTGTTTATAATCTGCAAGGAAGTGAGACTAATGGTAGTCTATAAATCTAACATCAGAGTAAGGACGAACCTCAGCGCTCTTGTAACTGGTATATATATTTATATAAGTCAAACCAGCCCAAGCTAGAGAGCCATGGCAGGGCCAGCAAGCAAGGCCCGGACCAAAAGATACTGAGCCGACTGGGTATAAAAATAACAATGTGGAAAAAATAGTAAACATAATAAAAGTATAAAGGAGGGACGAACCTCAGCGCTCTTGTAACTGGTAGGATATATAGTTCTCTTCTTGGTGGGTGGGTAGCTCCTCTGTTCTGGGTAAGGGCTACTTGTCTCCTTGGGGAATGAGCTCTGACTGAAATTAGGTTTTGTTAGAGGTGGTGTTACATGCTATAAATAATAAGTAAATAGTTGTTATAACACGGTTTTTACCGTATTGTTGGGCAAATTTTGGCGGCACAAACCACTGTCGATGACAGGAAATCGCAGATCGAATTTTTGCCGAACGAATGAAATCCAAGGAGAAAATAAAGGGCGGTGGTTTCCGGGACAAACTTAAATGTGAATGTATATATGGTTGTCCCTAACGTATTAATGCTTTTCATACAAAGTTACAACAAAGTCTTCATGTTATGTATCCTAATGTATAATGTTCCCTATTACGATAATTTCCGGGGACAATAAATGACAAACTTACAAATAACCCAGTGTACAGGTAATACAAATGTATAATTTATCATCGAATAAACGTACATGAAACTTGGCTTAAACCACACATTGTTACTATTCTGAATATCTCCCCCATGAAGCTGCAGTCCCACCATACTACACAAACTCTCTGCCAGAAACTCAGCTGCCTCCTTTATCTCAACCTTTATCTGCGGCAAAAGATCTGGAACATTCTGGGAGAGATCTGGAATCTTCTGGGAGAAATCAGGAATCTTCTGGGGCAGGAATTGTGGCAGAGTTGAGAACTCTTGTGGGGGAGGATCGGTGCGTTCTATTTTTATGAGAGGCAGATTGTCTGTGCTTTCTACGTCTATATCTAGTTCTTCACCGTCAGACATATTGTGGAGGATAGCTGGCTACAAACTGGTTGGATTTATCTTTTATTGACAATGATTCACACGATTCAAACAAGCTACACCTGTTTATTAGCATGATCGAAACAAATTTCTAATAGTAAGTGATAGATATCATAACGACAAAAAATACGGCCATTTATAGACTTGAAAATAATGGATTGTAAGGAAGAGAAAACTAAATAAAGTGACAAACTAAAGACGTAACGATTTCCGGAGGCACAGTTTATACAAAATGAGACAAGCATCGCAGTATTTTCAGCTGCTAAGTTAGAATATTGTGACTTGAGTAGCACTCAAGCTGTCATAGGACGAGCCACGCCACTGCTTCTCTTTCACACCGCTTCAATTTTGACATGGAATCTCACTTAATTAACAGAGACTGACTGCGACTCAAGTCTTTCTTAAACTGTCTTAGTAGTACTTTACTTGAACAAACTTTAAGTAGGAACACAGTCTTGTCTGACGTAGTTGCAGTTACCATGGTAACGGTCTGCAACCCAGAAACAAGTTAGGTTTTACCAAAGAACAAAAGAAAACGCCCTCTTTTGAAAGGAAGATGGCAATACAAACACACGAGGACGAATCAAGCATGTCAGTAGCTGCTAAAGGAAGTAAACTGAACGTACATCCTCGCTTACTAAGCCTCATTAATCGACCCCCAGGGGGGCCTAGAGAGCGAGCTATGTTGCACGTGCACGAACTGTCACGTGAAATCGGGCAAGTAGGGTATCACACATAGGAAATTGGGATAATTTGCCGTTGGGGTACCTTGAAGGTCTTTAGAAAACGACCCGATTTCGTTTAGGCCCCCGATTAGTGTGATGCAAGGCGCTACAAATCGATGGTTTAATATTGAGCCATAATTCGATAATGAAGTCCCTGCGACTTTAACGGTAATTTAGGTCGATTTCAGCAGCTGATTTTAAAAGAACGACAATCAGCAGCAGTAAACCTTCCTTAAAAACTACGGAAGCAAAAACTATACACCTCAAAAAAACACACCTGTGAGACAAAACGAAAGAAAAGAATACACTAAAAACCACTGCTTCTCCCTCAGTGACACACATAATTCAATTTATAATTACTTCCTACTACACAGCATACAACAAATACACGACACATGCAACTTGTGTACTGTGTGCGCTGTGTCCAGTGTATTATATATAGCACCGATCTCTAGCATTATTATATGAAGCATGAGGAGCTTGCTCTCGTGCTCTAAAAGAGGTATAATCAGCGACCAGCCTGGTAGTTTATACCTTATTGAGAGAGAGAGAGAAGATGAGAATTGTACGGAGTAAGTCACGTGATGGGAGATTACAGGTCACGTGGTGTGATATTACTTCCTAGATGGAGGAGGAACTGATAATTATCCTGCTGTTGCAGTGGTGGCCTGTGTGGGCTGGGCCGGGAGATGAGCGGTTTCATTGTAGGGTCATGTGAGAGAGCGGTGGTTTTAGAGACGGATCAGGTTGTGAGAGAGCGGTGGTTTTAGAGACGGATCAGGTTGTGAGAGAGCGGTGGTTTTAGAGACGGATCAGGTTGTGAGAGAGCGGTGGTTTTAGAGACGGATCAGGTTGTGAGAGAGCGGTGGTTCTAGAGACGGATCAGGTTGTGAGAGAGCGGTGGTTTTAGAGACGGATCAGGTTGTGAGAGAGCGGTGGTTTTAGAGACGGATCAGGTTGTGAGAGAGCGGTGGTTTTAGAGACGGATCAGGTTGTGAGAGAGCGGTGGTTTTAGAGACGGATCAGGTTGTGAGAGAGCGGTGGTTTTAGAGACGGATCAGGTTGTGAGAGAGCGGTGGTTTTAGAGACGGATCAGGTTGTGAGAGAGCGGTGGTTTTAGAGACGGATCAGGTTGTGAGAGAGCGGTGGTTTTAGAGACGGATCAGGTTGTGAGAGAGCGGTGGTTTTAGAGACGGATCAGGTTGTGAGAGAGCGGTGGTTTTAGAGACGGATCAGGTTGTGAGAGAGCGGTGGTTTTAGAGACGGATCAGGTTGTGAGAGAGCGGTGGTTTTAGAGACGGATCAGGTTGTGAGAGAGCGGTGGTTTTAGAGACGGATCAGGTTGTGAGAGAGCGGTGGTTTTAGAGACGGATCAGGTTGTGAGAGAGCGGTGGTTTTAGAGACGGATCAGGTTGTGAGAGAGCGGTGGTTTTAGAGACGGATCAGGTTGTGAGAGAGCGGTGGTTTTAGAGACGGATCAGGTTGTGAGAGAGCGGTGGTTTTAGAGACGGATCAGGTTGTGAGAGAGCGGTTGTTTTAGAGACGATTCAGGTTGTGAGAGAGCGGTGGTTTTAGAGACGGATCAGGTTGTGAGAGAGCGGTGGTTTTAGAGACGGATCAGGTTGTGAGAAAGCGGTGGTTTTAGAGACGGATCAGGTTGTGAGAGAGCGGTGGTTTTAGAGACGGATCAGGTTGTGAGAGAGCGGTGGTTTTAGAGACGGATCAGGTTGTGAGAAAGCGGTGGTTTTAGAGACGGATCAGGTTGTGAGAGAGCGGTGGTTCTAGAGACGGATCAGGTTGTGAGAGAGCGGTGGTTTTAGAGACGGATCAGGTTGTGAGAGAGCGGTGGTTTTAGAGACGGATCAGGTTGTGAGAGAGCGGTGGTTTTAGAGACGGATCAGGTTGTGAGAGAGCGGTGGTTTTAGAGACGGATCAGGTTGTGAGAAAGCGGTGGTTTTAGAGACGGATCAGGTTGTGAGAGAGCGGTGGTTCTAGAGACGGATCAGGTTGTGAGAGAGCGGTGGTTTTAGAGACGGATCAGGTTGTGAGAGAGCGGTGGTTTTAGAGACGGATCAGGTTGTGAGAGAGCGGTGGTTTTAGAGACGGATCAGGTTGTGAGAGAGCGGTGGTTTTAGAGACGAATCAGGTTGTGATAACGCCCCATTTTGTAACGCCGTCACTTTTGTTGGTGCTCACAATGGTGGTAATAGTACCGGTAATCGGCAGCTACTTGAGTTCAATAAGGAGCCATTGTTATGAACTAAGGGTGCTTTAACCGATTATTATAATCATTTCTGATGCCGTAGTGAAGGTGATGGACGTAAAGCCTGAAGGATATAAGGAAGAATATAAGGAACTAGAGTGCATGGTTGTAAAAAACAAGATTTAATTGTGTCTCGAAGTATAGATCATTCGCCAATCTACCGATGCTAGTGTGGTTTAACCGTTTGGTATACCATTACCACCGTTTGGTTTACCACTTAAATACGCCACTTATAAGTAAAACACTTCATTCGTCTCCATATTGTGATGCCAAATTTCCGATGTTACTACTGGTTTTCGTGAAAAAAATGATGGGAGGAGACCATTAAACATAAACACAAACCTTCTAATAAACTTCATAGGAAGTGTTCCTGTAGCCACAGTACTTACTTCACTCTAAAAGTATACCACGTGGAACATAACAAAAGAACAACATTTGTTTCTATTGTTATGTTTTGTGAGGTGCACTTTTGAGTTAAGAGTGAAACGTTTCTAAACGTTTCTGAAACGTTTCTAAACGTCTCACTTTTCCCCACTTATTAAAAGGTACTGCTATCATAATGAAAGTTTATCCAACAACTCTGGAGTGTGATTGGTGTGCCCAACATTTCTCAACACCTCTAACTCCGGCGATACCGAGTAGCAATCTATTAAAAGAAGCGAAATTGAAAACTCCGATTCCAATGGTGTTCTCGGAAGTAAACTGAGAAATCACAAAATTACCTTCAAATTGCTGCTATAAATAAAAGAATAATATGTAATACAAGCAACATGAAGGAAGATGGCAGTTGAAACACTACCCAGAAGTCTGCTAATGATTCGGCTCATCATGCACGAACAGACCCCGCCCTAAAATTTAGGAAGTGAATTTTCTTATCATTGGATCACTGCAGGTCTTAATACGATGACACGGAAAAGTTGATTAAACGGACCTAATTGGCAGAGTCTGCTCCGCCATCACTTTTTTAGGGCTCATAAAACCAGTTTGATAGCTGGTATAATAGATTAGCTAGCGTGTGAAGTAAAAATGAACGTGGTTCTCAATGTCAACTGTCATGGTCGATGAATCGTAAAATCGTTACTTTTAGTGAGGTAAATACGAATTTAAAAGTAAGTAATCTGTAAGTAATCTGTAAGTAATCTGTAAGTAATCTGTAGTAATCTGCTAGTAATCTGTAAGTAATCTGCTAATGTATTAAAGTAAGTAATCTGCTAAATCAAGAGACGAAATAAAGACGGAAACATCCTTAGTTAACAAACGACCGAGTGATTTTTATTAGGTTCCAGAAATTTGGAGAGGAACATTTAATTTTATAAGGACGCTAGAAAGTTGAAGATCGCAATATCAAATTTTAAAGAATACGGGTGCTCGTTTCGTTTGTAGATTCTACATTTACCGATACACATCATTAGAATGTATCAGACGGGCCAAATTCCCCGTTAACTTTGGCGGCAAAAATCTACAGCCCAAACGGAATCTGTTCACGGTAGATAAGTAAAACTTAAAAACTCGTCAGAGAACATATTATTGACACTCACGCCATCCAACAGAAACACAACTCAACTAAATGCTGAGTACATAACGGTTTAAATATTAACCGGCCCTCATCAAGCACAGAGAATCGACTCCGCCTTCTAGCTCACGTAGGAAGTAAACTGAAGATTTAAACTGAATGCTTGTTTAACGATAAGCAAGGAAGCAAAAACTAGCAAGCTTGCTGAATTCGTGCACTTTTCCGTCACAATACATTGCAATGTCGATACAAAAACGTAAAATTAATTTACCTGCACAGTTTGAAGCGAAAAATATTATTATATAACGTTAAGCGTTCTTAATCGGTGAACATTCCTGCAGTATCGAGAGTCAAACAGTACGAGACCCAAGCCTAACCCCAGCTAAATAATTGTCACTTATTACATTTAGTTAATATCCAATTATTGCTTTTTACGTTATAGTTACATGCTGAACGTTAATGCAATATATCAGTGACAATATCCATAAAATCATGACACCATTAAGATTTGCTATGGAATTAGAATATATTATATATACATGAAATTTAATATCATGACTATTTTAAATAACTAAGATGAGTATCTACGACAAAACATTAACTATAACCAACAATTGGTCACGTAACAAATCTTACATTAAAAAATTACACAAAAGTAACAAGTCTCCACCAATACAGTTCAAAGAGAAAATTTGCTACGGAATTGGAATTTATACATGAAATTTAATATCATGACTTATCTATCACGAATAATCTAAATAACTAACTTAAGTATCTATATGACCAAACATTAACTATAACCAACAATAATTGCCATACACTAAAAAGTGACACAAAAGTAACGCATCTTTGCCAGTACAGTTCAAAGAGAAATAACACACACTGTTATATCTCTCCAAGTAGGAAGAGCTTAATTTGTACTTCCTTTATCAGCTGGAGAAAAACCAGCCAATCAGGAGGCTTCTTATGTCAGCTGGCAACAAAGTAGCCAATCAACGTGGAGAAAGCGATAATGTAATCAGTACAGTGGTAAAATGGAGATCAAGTGACGAGTTTAGTAATGACGTAATATTAATTATATCGTCAACTTTATCACGCAAATATACACAATATTATACATGTAATTAATTGACAATCTATTGCGGGGAAATCAATGCAGTTTTGAAATGTATATTATACCCGTCGCAATGTAAAATGTACAAGATTTTCCCGGTAAATTAAAACACCGGATATCAATTGAAAAGTGAGAACAAGTAAAACAGAAAGCTGATAACTAATTTAGATCGGTCCGGATCTGTCAAGAATACAAGCAAAGAGCATTCTCAGTCACACTAAATACCTCGACAATACCTCACAATTAATGCTAGAGTTACGGAAGTCACCTCACGAAACTGCTGCAATACACAGTGCACTAGCCGTGCTATAATGTACACAAAATGGTATACGAAGCCGCAATTTTCTTCCTATATTTGCGGGATTGTATACCACTGAACAGGTGTAATTAGCGGCCCTATTATTCCTTATATGGTAGTGTAAAATAGAGCAGGTGTTGCTTTCGTCAGAGCGTGTTGCTATGGCAACGAGAACGAGTTGACATCTTGTCATCAGCAAGAATGGGTGGAATGTGGGATGAGATAGTTCAGATCCGGAAGTTTGGGGGACGGTTTAGTGAGTGGTGAGAAATATGAAACAAACGGGAAAAAAAAGGATGGTTTGGTAAATTACTATGTAATGCGAATATTGAGGTGGTTTTTTGAATAATGAGTAAAGTTATCCGCACTTGAGTAGTGAGTTGAGAATAATTTACTTCCCATTACTTGATAGGAACAGAAAATGAATTTTGGTGGGTATTACAAACGTATAAATACTTAATAAAGTAACCGTAATATTTAACGGTTAGGGGTTCGCGCAGTGTTAATTTCACAAATTCCTTGTGGAATTCCAACTATTATGTTCAGCATTTCACATGTTTTAACGATGTTTCGCATATTTTAACGATCATTAACATATTTTCACGATGTCTCATGATACAAGATAGAAATAAATTACATAAGTAAATTAAATTAATTGATCTTACTTGCAATGGTCGTCAGGAACAGGGTATTCTGTGAAATATGCGTCTCGTTTTAACCGTTTCACTGATCTGAAATGTTCATTAAATCAATATAAAAGTAGGTCCAGTTTAGCTTTTTATGAAAACTCAACATTGATTTATCCGCACAAAAAAGGAGAAAACGTTACTTAAAGTTTCGCGCACACAACACTTTACAACAGGACACACGGACCAACAATAAAACAAACCTGACAAACTTTGGTCGAGGAGAAGTATCATGGAGGGGTGCAGTAGGATGATAGTATTCTGTAGTCAAGGTAACTGTGGTAGGCTGGTCCCCTTCGGATACCGGGGGTGGGGAATGGGGCTGATCATGTTCCACGTTATCCAGCTTGGTTAGGATGGGGTAGCAGTAGGTGGTACGTTGGGACAGCATGGCTTGGTATTGGTCACATGTGAACAGGTCTAGTGGTGGACCTGGTTGATAATTTTTATATTATAGCAGGGTTTATGTGTTATCTGTTTTTAATATTCTGCAGAGACTCAAGAGAGACGCATTTTTATGGGGAATTTCATTGGAATTACACATGATTTTAATGGGGAAAATTAATTTCGAGTTGGGTATCAAGTTTGAGACTCAACTTACCTTTTGAATACACAGCACTGATCCAAGAAGTAGAAAATGGTACTGTCTGCTTCTCAGAACTCTGGGTAGAAGCTGTCTTTGAGGAAACGGACACGTTTATATTATCTACTGAGGACTCGTGATCGAACTCTGTCTTAGCTCTGAATGAGGAACTGAAAGATCTAGTACTAAGTCTTCTTATCACGACTGTCACCCAATTCTATACCCTAGCCATTAACCCGAAAAAACCTCAACCAAACTACTAACCAAAATTAAACATTGTTAGTAAAAAGCAACTCTACTTACATGACATCAATATGAGCTGCGGGAGGGTTAAAGTGAAAGAGATTGCTGTCGTCTTCGTCGTAAATTCCATTATCTAGAGACGAGAGGTTCTTTCTGCATTCTTCAGATGTCTGTGTTAGAGTGATCTCGTGACCTCCTTTCGGTACCTGAAAAAAGGAGTTTTATGATGATAATTGTAATTGTATTTACTTCAGCCAAAAGGACGGTAATTAGGGTTAGGCTTCTCCTAGAGAGGCAAATATGCATAGCTGCTATAATTAGAACAGTGGTGCAGGAGTGTGTTAAGTTTTAGTGTCGGAACAGTTTAGAAGATGTAAACATTTCCCGTGGAGACTTACAGTTGAGAAGTGAGGCTGAAGACGCTCCAGGTACTCTCTACAAACATGATTGGTAGTCAACTCCTCGTTACACTGAAATACAGTGACGTCATGATTGGTTTGATGACGTCATTAATAACACTATAAAATATAAATTTAATACGTAGTATGTAGTAAATAACTAGAGTACTTCCGTGTTTTATAACACCGAACTATTTTGAGTATCCACCCAGATAGCTAACCAATTATCAGTTAATACAGTTATAAACAAGACACAAAGTAATCATTCTAATCCTAAATAAAAGCTAATTACTAATCACCCTAATTACTAATTACATTAATTAACAAATTAATTAACCAATGCTCCACTAACCATGGCACACTCGGCTATAACGTTCTTCTCGGGGGAGCTGGAGGGACTGGGTTCTGTAGGGAGTATCTCTTGTAGATCGTTCTCTGTTAGTCTTATGTTTGAGCCCCACAACACATCTGCTCCTTTCTACAGAAGGAAGTTTATAAGATTTGCGGAATTTTTGGTTTACATTCCCAATTACACGAACACAATATGGAAATTATTTATATGGAAATTGAATTTAGCGTTTGCAGAGATCTTCTGTAGAATTGTTTTGGTAAGTGGATCAATGGATATTATCCTTTTTTCGTGGATTGAGCTTTTTTTTTCTAGGTGCGAAACAGCATGAAAAAGAGTAGAGTCAGGCAGAATGGAACAATTTTAATCCTCAGTAATTTCTCGGTTTGTCTTCCTTGTTATAACTACAAGAAATAAAGAAATCGCCAGTGAGAGACACTGAACAGATAGAAAAAGGGCAGTATCCAAGAAGCCCGACCCAGTCCGCGGACTAAAATCGGTCATACATCAGTATTCCGACGGCAGTACGGCGGCAGTACGGCGGCAGCACGGCGGCAGTACGGCGGCAGTACGGCGGCAGCACGGCGGCAGTACGGCGGCAGTCCCGCGGCAGTGCCACGGCAGTGCCACGGCAGTATAGTGACAACACTTATATCAGACTTTTGATCCAATTATTTCATGAGTTTGATGATTAGTTCACATTGATTTGTCAATTAAAAACATATTTCGAGAAATCAATAAGTTGTAAATAAGTTCATACAATATCATTATAACTTTAAATCAGTAACTGTCACCCTGGAGCAATAAAATATTAAAATAATTCAGATTCATTGCAGGTACTTCTGGTATCTTTTGTATTTCTCTGATGTGATACCCATGTAACTCACAGCGTCATCTAGAGAAGCTCCTGCGTTAACCATGTTGTCGATCTTTTTGAGGAAGTCGCGGACTCGTTCTTTCTTCTTGAAGGACGAGGACTCTACCACAGCAGGTATATGAGCTGGACACAACTGCACCTCGATCTTCATAGTTTCGCCCTCGTAGCGAGATTTCAGCTTACAGTGTGAGCAGAAGACAGCATTAGGTGTTGAGGAAGTGGTGTCAGAATTGTCAGGACAAAGTGTGGGGGTGTGTCCAAGTCCTTTGCAGCGGTCACAGGAGATAGCTTGAAGTCCAATAGAACGGTTAGCAGGCTTAACACTAGTTCCAGCATCAGTAGTTGCAGCTTGGGGTTTGTTCTTCTGCTTCTTGTTTCAGGATATCAAACTCAGAGATTGTAAAGATTGCAGGACAGAGGACTACACTCGACTACCTTCTGGAGAACTACAGCTGAACATATCCCTCTGCAGTTTACATCGAACGACACTACTGGCTACCCCAACACGAAAGAGATCTCGTCCCCTCTCTCCTAGTCCTACCAACGATCCTACTATCCTTCCTGGTGCCACTCAAGCTGTTATACCTTCTAGACGAGGAGGAGCTACTCCACCAGATACTGATAATGCTCGCCTGATGAAACCTACTCCCGCTCCTCTGTAGCTGGCGAAGCCTTATCCTCCTACAACAGAGTGCACAGAGACTTTGCCAACCGTCCTGATACCTCCATCAGCCTCTCAAAGTTCCTGAAACAGAAACGAATCCCTGAAAGATCCTTCTACCGCAAGAAGAAGATAGCAGAGCTGATTATCCTTGATAGACCACGATTCGGCAGTCTCATCAAACAGATTCTCAAGGAGGAGCGGACTGACAGGATCAACCAGCAGATTCTCTCTGACCGATGTGGGGCTATAATCCTCAAGCAGAGTGACTTTCTGGAGAAGAAACGACTCGCAATTGCTGCTGGAAAGATTCTCTAAATGTAAATTATTTTATTGCTCCAGGGTGACAGTTACTGATTTAAAGTTATAATGATATTGTATGAACTTATTTACAACTTATTGATTTCTCGAAATATGTTTTTAATTGACAAATCAATGTGAACTAATCATCAAACTCATGAAATAATTGGATCAAAAGTCTGATATAAGTGTTGTCACTATACTGCCGTGGCACTGCCGTGGCACTGCCGTGGCACTGCCGTGGCACTGCCGTGGCACTGCCGCGGGACTGCCGCCGTACTGCCGCCGTACTGCCGCCGTGCTGCCGCCGTGCTGCCGCCGTGCTGCCGCCGTACTGCCGCCGTACTGCCGCCGTACTGCCGCCGTACTGCCGCCGTACTGCCGTCGGAATACTGATGTATGACCCTAAAATCATATTCCTGCACTATCAGCATTGATTGAGAGGCACACGGATCTTCATCCAGACAGAAGCTGAAGAACAGTAGTCGAACCAAAATCAGATAATTAGATTTCCTAAATTAAAGCGCCGCACACAAGACACATACAGACAAAGTGGTGAGATTCACCACTAGAGTCTGCACCAAGGCATGGGATCCTGACATGAGGATAAACCCATTAAGTGATAGACTCGATTAAGTCTAACCGATGTGGCACGTCATTCAGCGTTAATATGTATGTAGAGCTACAAAGCCTACACGGGCTACACATATAGCCCACACTCTTGTGAGACAATATATCAAAATCATCAAAAATTGTCCGAGGCTAGAATCGTAAGCGAAACAAATAGGAGATATGTCAAGACACAATGAAACTACCGGACTTTCCACCCCATGGCAACATTAAAATATATCGACTCTGTTAGTCGGCTCAGTGCCGGGCGGCTCAGTCGGCTCAGTGCCCCATAAATCAAAAATTAGTCAAATAACTCCGAGTGAAGATAGATATGAAATCACCAATACACCCAACCTACGAACTCAATAAACCCGCAAATGCCAAATAACTGCATACTCCCCCCCCCCCCCCCCCCCCTCCTAATAAATCTAACTGCATTAATAATCCCACCGATCCAGTCTCCCACAAAATAATCCGCAAACTCAATAAATCAGAGTTAAACATAATATAAATACAGCTAAACGACGTACAGACACTAACCAACTATCCCCACTTAATAGTATCGTATGATAAGACAAACGTACTCATCGGATTAATTTCAATTAGGTGGCATCCAACAGGACCACTATTCTCCGGCCAGCTAAGGACCTAACATTACCACGACGATCCCTATGACTACGAAATTACATTAGCTGGACGATGTGTAAGGATTTATCACCATCGGGAATATCCATCCTCTCGGTGGCCTTTGATGGCATTTTGTGTATGTGAATTTATGAAGGTGCAAATAGAATATATTTCAGGCAGACAGATAATACTTTCTTAACACAATCAGGAAATTGTCCGACGTTAGGTTTCTTTAGCAAGTCTATCTGTCGACTGTTTCCGTGAAAAGACTGCACGCAATTTAACCAAAACTTAACATTAAATTCAACTTCCATGTTCCCAGATGTGCTCCGCTCCAGGTTTACTCTACATTGCAGAATTAGATTTAAAGGTTGGTTCTAAATTATGGCCGGGTACAATTTGTCCGGCTATGTAGTGTCTCATTAGATTTGGGTTGGGTAGAGCACAGGACACCTATTTACGCACCTACTACGCAATACTATTTCCCAGAAATTGTACTTCTTTTCTCTTAACATGGACAAGGATTAACTGATATCATTAGCTAAATCGTGACTAAATCTCAAATTGAAATGTAAAACCTCCTGACAATCAGAACAAACCACACTAACCCCAGTAAATTTAACAAGGTAAAAGTTAAAACACTCTCCCCTCTCTCTCTCTCTCTCTCCATCTCTCTCTCTCTCTCTCTCTCTCCCCTCACACTCGTTACAACACACCAACAGAATCACAAGCTGAATGCTAGATCCCAAATTACAAGAAGTGACTTACAGCAAGATCGTGCGGAGCTAGAAAGGCTAGAAAGGTAGATCGTACGGTGTTTGGCAAGCACACAATTTGTTGGATTGTTGGAATGTACCGCTCTCTGGTCAGAGAGAGAGATGAGCAGGGTAATTTGCGGGGATATTATTAAAGCACTCTTTTTATTATTAACTGGATCAGTATTAAGGTGGACTGTGGAGGTATTTATTGTGGAGGGGCCATTAGCTGATTTAAAGTTGGGACTGCAAAGTATGTAAATACTAATAGGGGATTGCGGAAGTGTAAGGAGATAAAAGGGCCAGAGAGAGAGAGAGAGAGAGAGAGAAAGAGAGAGAGAGAGAGAGAGGGAGAGAGGGGGAAACCAGATATTATAATCATTGTAATAGTTGGCAGTGAAACTATTCGGCGCTATCTCTCAAACCTTATGGGACTTAACACTTGCGAGGGCCTCTTAATAATGCAAGTTTCACTGTATTTGTTGAACAATGAGTAGCAACTATAAGCTTAGAAATTACTCAACAGTGAAACTGTGAAAGTTAGAAACGAGGATCGATATCATGGATATTATACTTGTATATCATGGATATACTTGTCCTATAAGAAACGTTTAAACGTAAAGCGGTCGATCTTAGCAATAAATAAAAATCATGATCAAACATGATGTGGGCGGTGGATTAAATCAAACGATTGCAAGAAGTGTAAAACATGGTGATTAGAATCGTACACCGAAACTTATCATGTATCGTGTTACAAAAGGTGACCGGGATTCCGGAACAACAGTGCCAGTGTGCCACAGACCATTTGAAATGTTAGATTAAGTCGTGATCAAATGTCCCGATCAGGTATAACAAGAAAATTTCTCCCTTAAAATTGCCAACCCCAAAAGTAATACTACATGTATTTAAAGTTAGTGAGTCATATTATATTGAAGATATTATTTACATCCTTTTTAAGCGGTGACGTTGAGATAGGATCAGATATAGATAAGACAAATATCAAACTAGGCATGTTGCCAACAGTATCATCCGCCCACGGCCACAGGAAGAAGAAAATAGAGGAAGAAAAATGGGAGCACAGCAAGAGAGAGAGGAAGAAAAATGCAGCGCAAACTAAACAGACTAGGACACGGAACAACAAAACAACGCCGTCACAAATTATTGGGCTAAATAAACACAGGTCACAGACTTCGAGCTGTCGTAGGAAGCCAAAGCCGGGCTTATCCAAACAAATCCACGCTTCTACTTCCTAGATTTCACCCCATCTAGCCTCGGTTAGCATGTAATGTTATACGCGTAAATTGCCCAGTAATAGGTCACGTGGGGTACACGTGATCCGCATGGTAACGTAAGGTGTTAGTGCACGTGAGGGCCGCCTGATGATGGCACGTGGTGTTTGGATTGTAGTGTAAATATGGGTCACGTGCATTAAAGTGGAGTGCATTAATGCGATTTGGGAAAGAGGGGAGCCCTGGACGAAGCTGGAATCTCGGTCGCTGCATACCAGCCGCTGTGGTGACAGTGTGATCACCAGACTTCAGAATAAGTTCAGGTTTCGCAAGTTAAACAAAAGCTTGGACCCGGACCAATATATGCGTGGGAATGTGTAAAATATTGGTGCTTATTAGAAGGGGAAATGTGCAGAGCGTGACTGATTTTAAAATAGTTACCTCCGCAGGCGGTACACGTCACGTGATAGCATGTGCAGATTTATATTCAGTCAGATAAGGAAGTCTATTATTGTGTACCGCCCCACTTTTTTAATATTAAAGTCACTATTGTGACGGTACATTAGAACTAGACAGAAACAAAGTGTGCAGGGCCTGAACGGAACCCCTCGGTTTCAGTTCCTTGTTTAACACTGCCGTACAGCAAGGACATCCACCGGGTTCTCCAAGGATGGGCACATAGCTCACTCCACACTATGCTCTGTCAAATGTTGCATATAATATACCAAGGATCTACAGGAAATATTTCCTTATAAGTTTAGAGGGCGATCTGTGAACAGACAACTACCTCATTCCCAACTATAGGAACCAGAATTCTTATACTATCCCAACGAGCTACACCAAGCATAGTTTCATTTTGTTTGTTCCAATCTGGCCTGCACCTCTATTTTTACTACACCATAACTCGAGGATGTTGTGCTTCACTTTATTGATTAAGTCTAATGTCTATATAATTCTTAGTTGTAGTGAACGGTGGATTTTGACGTATTGGACACACGTTCCAGTCTAGTCATTTTGTAGTGAACGTTGTTGAACGTCTGTGAACGTCTGTGATTATCAAAAACAAAAATTCATGAAAACATCATTTTTGAAATCTTGATTACCCCAACTGATAATTATTAATTTTCCCAGACTGAAACAAAATGAAGCAATCCTATTTCTGTGCACAGATTTCTGACTTTGTCGCCATGAGCCCATGATCACACACAGTATTTATGCTACTGAACACTGCTAGTAATTTATCCATAACGTTCAGAACGTGAGATGAGTTTTAGTGAACGCATGTACAGAAAATTTTTGGTGAACGTTCCGTATGTGCACTACAACTAAGAAGTAAGATATAATTAATTAATTAATTAATTACAGTTGGGCTTGTTAAAGCTGCAGTCTGCACAATAACCCACTGCACGTCATGTTATTTTCTTACCGTATTGAGGTAATCACTAAGGTTCCCCTCCAGACGAATTGCACCTGACTTGTTCCTCCGTTTCACCACTAAAGTGGTTGAACCAGATTTTCGGCGAGACTTCGTAACCACCATTTTACCGCTACTTCTTCAGAAGAACCCTCCAATTACTGTCTTTCTCCAGGGTTTGTAATGCTATTTCATTGGAGTCTCGAATGGGTAACTAGATAGTGGGGGCTTGTTAGTCGATTGAAACGTCTAAAAGTAAGAATTCAGGGTGATATACGGAACGTGACCGTTTAAACTGTATATTAAAATTAGATTTAAATTATAAATAACTGTGGGGCGTGAGAAGTGTGATGTTTATGAGTAAAAGGACAAAGGTATTTATAACTAATATAACCGATACGTGAGAATATGATTAAATTAACCATATTCTCAAATATATATGTGGTAATATTAATAATTTTAAGTTTAAAGAAAGTGTATACTTGAATAACGTCTTAATCTATTTATAAATATACTTGAATAACGTCCTAATCTATTTATAAATAGAATTGGAGTTGCAGAGATATCATTTTGGAGCTGAATCTGTAAAACTAAATACATCGAGAAACTTAGTGTGTCCCACAACCGAGCACCATGCCTAGAAGTCAGGCGTTATGTATCATAATGATCCTGGACCTAAGTGGCAAGTAACTCTATATCAACATTCAACAACAAACAAAAATCTGCCGCATGAGTATCTGCCGCATGAACTCTTACCTCAATACGCCATATGTCAGATGTTTCAACTGACAAATATGCACTTAAAGTATAAGTGTTAGGGTTGAAGCCTGGGGGCTCTGATTTTGGTTAAGCATAGGGCTAAAAATCTTGACAAAAGATCAAAACTAAAGCCTTATAAAAGCCATCATAGCGCTCAAAGATGTTACGACAAATACCTGAAGGGTACAGTTATGAACTTATAAACACAATAAAATCATCGCAATTCATCCAGTAAGGCATGCTGCAAATACCCACACTCTGCCTATTAGTCCTACTGGAATAACAACTGAACCGCACTCATAAACACAAACATATGACGTATGACCACACAAGTACCGCGGCATAGACCTCTATTATTCAAGTTCAGCTCCGAAACATATAATTTTGACTTTCGACTTTGGATAGGGGCTCGGAAAATAACAGAGGTATAGAATTACGTAAGTGTGAGGTGTAATTTCAATGTTGGAGTGTTCCCCTGAGCCTTCAGAGCTCATAAAATTAGAACTTTCGCGGCGTTATATGGCAGCTGTGAATGATCAGGGTATCACAAATCGGGAATTTGATTAACACTCAATGTTTGGGTATATTTAAAACATACAACGTCGTTACTCAGTTTTCTTTGCGGCGATCAATACCGATATGGAGATATGTGTTCCTAAAATATTTTAACTGATCGACTCCTCGTAAATTAATTATCTACCTCCATTACGTGAGACTTGATAAATACCTACACTGAAAATTCTGGAAATCGACTGTGTTTTATCTTTAATAAAGTGGATTTCATAACAACATAAAATACCAAAACGCCCTCTCAAGTAACATTACACGTCATGATCTCCAAAGAAAGTTTATAAATTAGTCGAACTTGCGGCGACAAAAAGGGGACGGTGGTTGATTTAGGAATTTTAAAACTCTAGTTGCTAAGGAACCAGCTGTGGTTGCTATGGTTGTCATGGTAACCTCCAAAACTCAGAATCCACTATTAACACATCCTGCTTAAAAAATCTCTCGCCGTTTTGGAATTATTATAGAAGCAAATCATGGTATCTGATATATACAAGTACTATATATTATTAAATGTTAAAAACACAGGTTTTACATTACAAAACAAATGACGAATGCAAGCGTTGTAAAAATGTTGGTGTGACAGTTAATTTACACTGTCTTCAATATGTATTATTTAAATTTGAAAACGGTCATAAACCAAACCTTTACTAGGAACCAAAGTGTACTATAATAGAACAATGACTGAATGACACACCTCGAAAATGAATTCGAAAGAATTTAAAACTTGAAAGAACATTTGAGTCTGCCCGAACAATGACGAAAGCAAAGAATTCCTCTACTATCAGCTCCCTTGTTCTCGGATTACTAAGTTATCTTATCGAGAAATGTGATACATTGCTGTCACGTGACCCTTCGGTACAATGAAATCTTTACTCAAGCTCTCTGAACTTGGAGAGTTTTAGAATCACGTGACTAATACCGTCAGTGTCACGTGATGTAGTAACCCTCAGCTCTTTGGCGAGTGATAAACATGACGGATTTACCAGGCGACAACAAGCAACCAATCTGGAATTTTCTAATGTGATATCGACCAATTGGAGGAGATTTAAAGACCACGTGATTTTCCAATAAAAATATAAAGCACGTGTTACCAAGGTGATCACGTGTTACCAAGGTGATCTCTCTAAACCGTGAGTTGAGAAGCTATATACCCAGTTTTACTGATGATGATTCCTATCTTACACGTGTAAACATAAGGGGAACCTTCTCTGTACACATCTTCGTCAGCCCATTTTATTATGTACTTGCTAACATCAGAAACTTTGTAACGAGTATAAAAAGGTACTGACGACAAAGGGGACGAACAGGAAACATGAGGATAAAAAATTAAGTATCCTAGAGTAGAACAATGTTGATGATTGAGGTCATTTTACTTACTTAATTTATGATTAAAAAACAGCGAAAGAATTTTCAAAATGTCATCTGAGAGAAAACAAAGGGTTAAACTCAAAACTCAGAAGTCTGATAAATCTGATCAATGTGCGAGTAACCCGTTGAGAATACAATAATGTAATTTGATCAGTACGAGATTGTGGTCACGTGACCACTAGTGTAACCACATCATTACTTATAAGTCCTTTTTTTTATAAATTGGAAACTGGGATGCTGCACGACACCAAGGTTAGTGCTTCAAAACCGAGTGTTAAGACTTAAGTGTTATACAAAGTGAAAGAGAAGCTGCACCTGTATTGTATAATGCAGCTATATATAGAGTAGCTCGTAAGTAGCCAGTTTGAAATGTTGACTTGTTTTTCAAGACTATGTTTCAAGCCTTGTACTTGTAGTTAGGCCTCCCTGGATTCTACTAAAGGTTGCCAGCACAGCCTCATAGAGTCATAAGATTAATGCCAGATTCTACAGTAACTATTACGACTCTCAACAATACTTCAGAACTACTGCAGTGTCAGATTCAGAATAATTACAAGTAGCAGCTCCTATAATTAACTAATAATTACAAGTAGCAGCTCCTATAATTAACTACTCTGTCATAATTAAGAAGTTATTCCGCACACCCGACCCCATGAGGGGTTGAAATGCGATTGATGGGTACCGTGACGGGACTTCGTGGGTATTACCTTTCAGTTAATAACAGATTGGTCAGGAAACATGGAATACATGCTCTTGAAATAAACTGCGTTAATTTTTAGGTCGCACGGAAATCTATTGCAAATCTACCGCAAATATTCCTATAATTGTGCAACCTATGGAACTTTGATCAAAGTCGAATCATTATTTATCTATTTAAAAATACTGGGAGAGGTAAAGGGGGTGAGTCGTAATGGGCGACTCAAAAACTCGTCACAAAAGAATCTAGAAAAAGGAACACTGATCGTCCGTTGACAAAATTCTACATCGATAGAATTATTGTACTGAACATACCTATCTTTGTTATTGTTTACCATTGTAGCTGTAAAATGCATTGTAAATAGAAAATTTCGTGGTATTCTAATTGTTTGGACGATTGCAATTTTAGTGACAAATCGATTAATTCAATGAAATAACGGTGAAATATTTCCAACAAACAACTGACCAAACGCAAACATAATAAATACAAAAATGCTATACTAGCTTTAAAGGCATATATCAACAGTCAACTATGTGGAATGTTTACTTAGTAAGAGAATGGCCCAAAGATAATGTATAATATGTATAGTTATACAATAACACAATACACTCAGAATGCTTTTGATGATGTACTACTCATATCAGTTTTAGTTTCCTCCCCCAACCGTTCAAGAGGAAATTGTGTGCGGTCCTTTTACTTCTAAATAGAGCTATAGTTACTGTAGTAGTGTAATGTGGTAAGCTGCAGTTACAGCGGGGACTTACAATAGTGTTATTTCTTAGGATTTGTAATATAGTGGGAAAAACCGTTCAATAGGAAATTGTGTGCGGTCATTTTACTTCTGAATAGAGTTATAGTTACTGTAGACTAACCTATCATTGTGCCACGTTATATAGAATAAGAAATATTGCATGAATTTTAAAATACAATTACACTGTAGGTACAACTGAAAATAAACATTAACACAATAACTTGTTGCAACCATGAGACAAACTTAATCATTAATCTAATAGTCATATTAAATGACATTATCATGATTCATGATGCACAGAACGAGATGGAAATAGTTTTCATAGTCTTAAATTGCGACTGAAGCTACTTTTGCTTTTGATGCACCAGAAGGCTGATTTTCCTGATGACGCAACGTTTACTCGTGCCGTTATACATACAATAAAAGGGACAAGGAAGTGCAGGTTTATCAAATAAAGTGTAGCAGGTGCAAATGACTGAAAACAAACCAGTCAAAAACATTGGTTTTGCAGGAAGCAGTTGCAATAACTGAACCTCAGCCACAATTATAAAATAAACAACAGATGCTTTCTTAAACAATGTCTTAACTGATTGACTAGTTTTAATTGGGAGTAATCATTTTGATCCATGATATGATAGCATCGTGTTTAAAACCAATCAGTTCTAATGGTTCCTAATTGGGGGGCTACCTTGCTAAACTGTGGATGTTTGGTAATTGGTGATCAACAAACAAAACAATCAGTTATCATATCAATTATCATTTATCAATCATTTCAATTATGTTTGTTTTGGTAACAGTCGATATGGAACTTAACCCAATCATCCGTGATATTGTCGTTGCAAGCTGGATATTAGTTCCAGTGGCGTAACTTTGCCTGTTGGCGCCCCCCCCGCTCAGTGACGAAAAGCGCCCCCCTAAAATTTTTTGTGTCCCTAAAAAAATAAAATTTTAAAAAAAAAAGTCGGGTACTTTTTTCTCGCCCCCCCTAAGGCTTCTTGCGCCCCCCTGAAGCAAAAAAGGGTACCCCAAATATTTTTTTCGCGTCGACCGAACGCATAATCGGACAGGGAAATA